GGGTCATAGTCACGGCAATTCGGTGATGTTTTCGGCACCAAATCGCATATTTCCCGATAAAATATGGCAGATGGAAGTAAATAACGTCTACAAAGGTGATATTTCACAGTAATAAAGAAGTATTTGGTTCATAACTGGATCGTATCGGGTAGTATTGGGTAGTATTGGGTGGTATTGGGTAGTATTGGGTGGTATTGGGTAGTATTGGGTAATTAGACGCGCCCGTTATGCATGTAGGTAATTAATATTAAATTTCTCGTGTCAGTCGTCGTATCAGAGATGTAATATATACTGGTATATATCTGGTCGTATGAAGCTATAGAAATCATTAACTATAGAAGTAAGAACAAATAGAAACAAGGAGGGACTGCAGCAATTGATATTTAAAAACAAATTCAAGTATTTCATCAAACAATATTATGCCAAAAACCCATTCCTAACACAAACATGCAGGCTTTTCTAAATACTATTAAGATAGTTCATAAGAGGCGAAAACGATACTTAGGGATTTTTTTTTAATTAAATCTCTATAGGCATATCTGTCCCTGTCTAGTTTTGAACGTCTAAAAGTCTAATCCGTTTGACAGAATGGCAGGTTGTTGATGAGAGGTTATAAATACATTCTGATTCTAGTCACAGATTGACGCTGCAACTTGAACAGACAGATGAAAATACTATCATTCTTACGAACGGTTGAGCAGAAATAGTTTCATTGATAATCATAACAAAAAAAAGGACAGAAACTGATCGAGTTTCTGTTTCTCACTGATTGAGGTCCAACACGTGCACGTGCGTTTTACTGTTTCGGGGTTGCACGCGTAAGGACGCCTTGGACACCGCATGATTATTGCTTTAACATTGACAATTCCTGTGAATGGATACAACTTAAAATGCAAGTTAAAAAAGTCAAAGAATGACAGGAATCTATATTTCCTCGAGACATCGGTCATAGTGTACTAACCCACTCGTAATCTTCTTGTTTGTCATTGAGCCGGTTCCACGCAAGGGAGGTAATAATGTAAACAAACCATACTTCCGGTTATTTAGGCGTAACAGTTTATGTTGATCAGATGAGCCCTGTGACTAATGTATGCTGACGCTAGTGAATGGTGAGCTTTATGTCAATGCATATTGAAAAGTTTCTATTGTATATTCACTTTCTTACCAATTATTGGTGAAAATTAATCATGTATTGTCTTAGGTGCTATCTTTGATACGGAGAATGATGACATCAACCTGCTGGAAATAATTTCAATCCATATTTTTGACAACCGTATGAGTAGACATGAAGAAAAATGTTAGCTAGTCAAGCGAGACTGATCCTCCACCCAATTTGTAATATTCATAGATCTATAACATAAGTCTGTAAATTCACATGATAAAATGATAGATATAATATAGAATCAATTCTTAAAAAAACTGTCTAATTGAGAGAGAAAAATGAAGACTAGGTTTTAAGTTATCAGCAATGAACTTGCAAAAATCATAACCGCACAACATGTTATTATTTATCCAACATTTATGTATATTTTAGAACTGACAGCTGTGTAATATATAAAAAAAATCCTATAGTCAGAATAAATCTGTTCTGTGAAAGATAGGGATGGAACTTCAAAATGAAATTCAGACAAAAATACCAAAATGACAAGTGCCCTTTTTTATGTGTTAATATTAAATATCATATCTAGACCTAGATGGGTTGGCATATAATTACAAACTAACTTCAGATATATGTATTTTTATGTTCAATTGTATCACAACACATATTGGGATTCAAATAGTCTGATTTTTATTTTTTATTTTTTTATTGGAGATCTGTCTCTGCAACATCAACAAATTTTTTAGAGGAGATAACTAGTTTGGACTATGATTCATACAAATCAAGCATTCATATCTGAGTTTCGAAGATCCAGGAGAAAATTGTTTGGTGGATTAAAAAATTAGGTAAATTGATAGGTCACACAAAAGCACATATCCTTTTAAACAGACCTACTATAAAATATAGGAAATTAATTGATTCTTTGTTTTTTAGGATGAATGGCCTCCCCACCTCACATCCAGCCTCTGAACTTGGAGGCAGCATCTTTAGTACAACATGCAGGTCAGATCCAGGTACAGCTGCCATCAGCTGGTCAGCATCCTCCCTTAGCAACTGCTGTGTCCACTCCGTCACCAACAGCCCGGTCTGTCACCAGTCCAGAGGGCATTGATTGCTATGGCAACGAAAGACAAGCTCTGAGTGACCAGGGAAAATTCTTCAACAATTCTCTTCTAAGCGATGTTATTCTTGTAGTCGGAGGAAACCGCTTTTACGCCCATAAGTTGATTTTGGTGCGGTCCAGTGATGTGTTTGAGAGAATGCTCAGTGACCAATGGAAGGACTCGCAGGAAAAAGTGGGTATTTTTTTGTCATATATAATAACCATATACATTGTGAATACTATGTCTTTATATAGCGGATACTGTCACCATATGTAGCGGGTACAATATGTTCAGTTGTGAGGTCATATTCTATGATGGAATTGTGTTTTTTTTGTTTGCATGGCCTGTTTGAATGGAAGTGAACTGAATTGAAAGTATTCAAATGAAGTTCTGATTTAGTTACTTCAGTTGAGACATATGTCACTGTTTATAACATATTTTCACGGGCACTGTAATGATAATTTATGTTATTACATACTTACTACTAAATTCAGGTTCTTTGTATGTGCACTATGACACAATTGCTCTTACCCATATTAGCCCTCGCCGTATCACACCCCAAAACCTGTATCAGCCCCTGCCGTATCACACCCCTTTTGATTATTATTTTTGTTTTTCAATATTTCAAAAGAAAAATTGATCATAAGATAGTAGCTTTTATTAGTAAGTATGTAATAAACAGAATAAAACATACCTTTTTCCATATCACACCTAGTATCAACCCTTGACCAATATCAGGCTGATATTGCAGTCTCGGGTTGATACTGGGTGTGATATGGAAAAAGGCATGTATTATTCTCTATATATCACCTTCTTTCATGTCATACATTTTCCAACAAAATAGTTTTTCTTTTTTTTTCATCACAGGAACTAGAACTAGTGGAGGACCAGATATGTGTGAGTATGTTTCCACGCTTCCTCACATTCCTGTACAGCTGTCACATTCGACTAAACATGGAGAGCACGCTGCCAGTTCTGGTCCTTGCTGACAAGTACAATGTGAAGGACTTGCAGGAGGTTTGTATCAACTTTGCCTGCACCTGTATCATACCCAAACTACAGCTCAAGGACGTGTTTCATGTGTGGTTTCAGTATGCCACAAAGTGCTACCACCAACGACTCATTCGTTCCTGTGTAACTGCACTTTCGGAAAAAATGGATGACATCATTGCTTCAGTCGAGTGGGAGAGGGAATGGGGTCAACTTGATAAAGAACAACTCATTGAATTCTTGAAAAGTTCATCCCTTTCCATCAAAGATGAGTTTGAATTATGGAATGCCACATTGAAATGGCTCAATTCTTCACAGCATCCAAAACGTCTCATGCAGTGTCTCAAAATAGTTGTAGAATATATTCGGTTTCCGATGATGACGCCAGAACAGTTGACTGAAATTGAAGCTTCGGATATTGTAACGAAGAACAAAAGTCTGTTTCAACAACATTTCATGACTGCATACAAATATCATGCCCTGCCATTAACCCAGAGGTCTCTGGTTAAAGAGTTTCATGGACCTTGCTTCCTGCTACGTAACTACACAGACTTGAGATGGGACAAGCGCTTTGTTGTGCCTATGTTTTCGGCAATACCTAGAGGGGCAGAGGTGAGTTTCCGCTTCACGACACGATCATCCACTTTCCCCCCTCAGACCTGGGAATGGGAACTCAAGGTATACCCCAAAGGCTACTCGTCTACCGCTGAGGACTTTCGCTGTGTGATCTACTCAAATCTCATCCTTGACCAGCCTCGGCCTGTGGAGTATTTGCTCTCCGTTGTAAGTAAGTCGGAACTTATACACACAGTATCTGGAAAAAAGAATTTCTCGAAGACAAGGTACACGGCCGACACCGAGATGGACAAGAAAATTACTGTCGTCGAGCTCAACGAGTTGAACTCTCCTCTGTTGGTTGATAATACATTGGTTCTACAGATCACGCTCAAACCTGTGGAGTAGTCATAGCAACCATCTAGGAGGACTTACATACAAATAACGAAGTTAACAGGGAACACTTTTCAATGAATCTCTGTCTAAACTGCACAATCTGAGGACAAAATTACCTGTACTGTAATGTATAAACATACAGGAAATAGAAATCTACTACAGTGAAAACTGTCTAAACAAAACAGCCATTTTGGAATGGGGACCAAATGTAATTTGTCAGATGAAAAATAAGTATTTACAAATTCCTTATACACCCATGCATAGCTTCGTGTCCCTGATAGAATGGCATGAAGTTTTTAATTCATTTATTGTAATTTTTTATTTTTTTTTATTTTTTTTAACTCATTCATTCCTGAAGTTTCGTAATGAACTATTCCAACTTTTGAATAGGAAGAGTTCAAATGGGTCTTCAGGGGTGAATGAGTCAAAAACAGTACAACTTTGACTAAAAGTAGGGGGTCGGGACTTATATAATGAAATAGCATTTGTTAACATTTCTACTGAACTGCAATCGAATTGGGTGGGCTACTTACCAGACATAGACTTATTGCTGGATAAATAAGGAAGTTCTCACAAACTTTTTATACATTAAACAGAGTTATTTTGATACACTTTTGAAGCTCAAGGATATGATGGAGGAAAACATATCTAATAAAAGAGTTCATAAATTTGTAGACCTCATTAAGCATTCCTTTGCAGAGATCATACTTTTGGAAATACATGTAGTTAGCTAAGATCTCAGATTTTTGATGACGAGTGTTTAGGGTTGTGAAGTGGGAAAAGGGTGCCTTTACTTATTACCTTGGCAACATGGGTAATAGGGTTGTTGGGGAGATGGCTACTTGGTTACCATGACAACATGGGTGTTAGGGTTGTGAGTTGTTGATATGATTCGTTTTACATTCACAATGTGGATAATAGGGCTGTAATTTGCAGGAGGGATGGGTTTCCTTGTAATCTTGACAACATGGGTGCAATGGTTGTTAGCAGGAACAGGTTTCCTTGACAACATGGTTGATATAGTTATTAGCAGGAACAGATTTACTTGTAACCTTGACAACATGGGTGATAGAGTTGTTAGCAGGAACAAGTTTTCTTGTAACCTTGACAACATGGGTGATAGAGTTGTTAGCAGGAACAGATTTCCTTGTAATCTTGACAACATGGGAGATAGGGTTGTTAGCAGGAACAGGTTTCCATGTAACCTTAACAACATGGGTGATAGGGTTGTTAGCAGGAACAGATTTCCTTGTAACCTTGACAACATGGGGGATAGGGTTGTTAGCAGGAACAGGTTTACTTGTAATCTTGACAACATGGGCGATATAGGGTTGTTAGCAGGAAAAGGTTTCCTTGTAACCTTGACAACATGGGTGATAGGGTTGTTAGCAGGAACAGATTTCCTTGTAATCTTGACAACATGGGAGATAGGGTTGTTAGCAGGAACAGGTTTACTTGTAACCATGACAACATGGGCAATAGGGTTGTTAGCAGGAACAGGTTTACTTGTAACCTTGACAACATGGGTGATATAGTGTTGTTAGTAGGAACAGGTTTACTTGTAACCTTGACAACATGGGTGATATAGGGTTGTTAGCAGGAACAGGTTTACTTGTAATCTTGACAACATGGGTGATATAGGGTTGTTAGCAGGAACATGTTTCCCTGACATTATGGGTGATAGGGTTGTTAGCAGGAACAGGTTTACTTGTAACCTTGACAACATGGGTGATAGGGTTGTTAGCAGGAACAGGTTTCCTTGTAAATGTAAGGAATGTGAGTTGAGGGAGAATAAGTTGGATTGACAATCACATCAAAGTTCCACTGAGCTACATCAAAAGACCCATTAGAAGTGACATTATTCCACGGAGAGAATACATATATATTGATTTTTTTTTAAAGTATATATTGTAATATTTATAACAAAATTGGTTGTGTTTTTATTGTAAGTCTGTAAGTTCTAACACATTCATAATGTTTTATAAGCTTCAGGCTTTGCTTTCAATTTGTTTGTTATGTTTATTTTTTGAGGCATACGTGGGGCAGTCACCAGGTACTGACCATAGATCGGTTGGGGGGTTTCCGGGAACTCCGGCTTTCCTTCACCACCAAAACCTGGTATGTCCTTAAATGACCATAGCTGTTAACAGGACGTAAAACACAAACAAACCAAAACCAAAACGAGGCAGGGACTTTCCAGTACCTCTTCTGAACTTCTTCTTGCCAATTTCATGGTTTGTTAGGTATAGCTGTTGCCTACTACATGTATACCAGCCAGTCCTTCAAATCAAATAAATAATAGAGTATATCTTTTGTAGGTAAAACGGATAGAGAATTTCTACCTGAGGGTTTAGAAATTGGGTCAGAACTCAGGCTTTGTGAGGGTAGAATTTCCTTACCCACTATGCCTACATAATGATTAACTCTTTTTTTTCCTCAGCTTTTACCCGGAATAGTCAATGACTTTGTGAATGAAACATCCTTTAATTAAATATATTTTCTAGATAACATACACATTAACCAAGAACATATTGGAGAGAGTAGGAAAAGATATAACTAAAAGGGTTCAGAAAAACTTCAGAACATCACTTTATGATGTCACTAGCATATCGAAAGGACATCACATTTCAGAACATCAGCTAATATAGTACTGAACATTTTGAATGCAAGCGGTTTGTTTTTATGCATTATCTAGTCAAGATTTACGAAAAGATGTAGTTCCCAAGCCGGGGTCACCAAATGCACCATGGGATAGAGTTATATGCCTCGTAGGTATTCACATGGGACTCGTGTATCTTACATACACAGAGGTGGGAGAAAATAATACTTTTTCATGCCCAGGGGTGTAGGATAGGGAAATTTCACCCGAGGGGTTTCCAAATTTGATAAAACCCAAGGCTTTACCGAGGGTTTTGCCAGAGTCAGATCATTGCTATCATTTTCAAGCATTGGCCTTTTGCCTTGTTGATTTTGTAAGTTTACATACATTTTTTGTATCTAAACAATAAACAAAGTTGTTACAAGGTTGAACGATGTATTGTATACATACCGATATATGCGTATCTATTTAATATGTCTATTTCCTGTCATTTGCACCATGTAAAATGCATTGTTTCTGTGTTTTTTTGCTATATGTTCTTTTTTTTGTATTTCTATTTTCAAACATCTGTGTATTTTATCTATCAACTGCTATTTTGTGATACAATTTTTGTCTTTGACATAGAAACATTCCCGTGTGGTATTCCTGTGCGATTGGTGCTTTTTGTATTGTAAATTTTTATCAATGTATAGGAATAAAATCTTTTGATCTTTTCATTGCTTTTTTTAATTTCATTCTGTCAGCAACCAGTGTCCCATACAGCATGCTGTAGGAACTCTTTGGTGTCTGCCACTTCCATACAACATTCTGATAACAGGACATGTGACTTTGAAAGTTGGTCAAGGTCACATATACGAGGAAGCCTTATAACAACACTCCATTCTAGGTACCTTCTGGCCAAATATTATGACCCTATAGGCCATATTGGATTTTTATTTGGACCCCTATAATTTCAATATATTCAACCAGTAAAATAGCTTATATATTTCAGTATAGATCTAATGGTTTTAAAGAACGAACAACTCCAAAAATTGTCAATTTGAAGAATAATTTCTTCCCAAAGAAGTATACATACAAATAATTATTTGTTTGCTGTTTATTTTGAGATGTGGAAGCTCTCCCATGGAATTATCAAAAGCTTGGCATGTATGAAAGCTGTTAACCCATTAAAGCCAATGTTGACTTTTAACCCCAGCCAGCACTTAAAGATGACCTCTGACCTTAGGCCAATAGGTTTCGCACTGCTGGTCTTCATTGTGTATCCAAGTATTATGGCTCTAGATCCTGTGGTTCTTTAGATATTGTTGTTTAAAGTTCTCAACATATTTGATCCCTGTGACCATGGGGCTGCGGTGGCCAAGTGGTTAAGGCGTCCGACGTTCTGCTACCACTAGCCCTCCACCACTGGGTCGTTGGTTCGAGGCCTACGCGGAGCAGTTGCCAGGTACTGGCCGCATGTCGACGCTTTTTCTCCGGGAACCCTGGCTTTCCTCCACCACCAAAACCTGGCAAGTCATTATTCAATGAAAAAATTGACAGACTGAAGGACACTACACCATATCAACTCACTAGTGAGCTAATATTCTTAAAAAATAACACAGATTCTCTTTTTAATATGAAAAAACTCTGATTTTATTTTATAACGATAATAATCCTTATGTACCAGTATCACAACATCAGAATTGCATCTCTATGATATCCTCAACACACTGTAGGGTTTCAAATTAAACAAAAAAGACAGCCTTAGCCCACTTCTATATATCAAATATAACGGCCCAGACACATCCTCATACAGTAGCAGAAGAAAAGATTAACGACAACATAACCACAGAGAAAATTACAAATTTAAAAAAAAAAAAAAAAATGAATTAAAACAAATAAAGTAGTAAGCTGGTAGCTAATGTGTTTTACTAGTTCCAATTAAAACAAAAATTTGTACACCAATTCTGTTAACAATTACTGTGTTTTTGTCATAGTATGTGTAGTATTTGCATCTCAAATGCAGTTTATTAATCAGATTTCTTTCCCTTAATCCAAATTGATCAAGTACACTTCAATTTGAAATTACCCCAAAAATTGTATCAATAAAAAATTACTCAAGTCATGCAAGCCAATTACAACTTCATGCCAGGACGAACACTGTACCAGAATGTAATGAAATAAAAACGACTGTTTGGTACAAATGAATAACCAATTCTTTCAATTTCCTGCCCTAAAAAATTAAAACTTTTTATTTCAATATTTTCAAACCAACACAACCCACTTATTTACAATGCTTTCCAATTAGAATCAATGTTATGTTTCCAAACAGGAAAAGTTATGTATTCAAACTACAATAATTATGGTTTTGATTCATTTTTATCATAAACCCAACCAAAACCTGTTAAAATTGCACATTTTGTGATTTAAATATAGACTCGAGAAATCAAAGAAAAACCACCATCAATTGCCGCGAATTTGTGGCGTCATTTTATGCCTTTCCTGTGAAATTGGTGAAGTTACCTATCAAAACATTATGTAGTAGTGATTATTACATTTCTTAACAGTCTAGGTATGTGATAAATAAATATTTACAAGTAAATTTTTCATCCAACTTTCCTTGCATAATAAATTATGAAAATGCACAAAATTTACAGAATTTAAATCTCACAGCAGGTACAGCCTGATTATTTCATACTGAATTGCTATGGTATTAAGTGATATTTCTATTACGGAACAATCACAGGGGCCGGACGCATCCATCCATCATCAATGATG